ATTATGATGTATTTCTCTTTCTTTAAGGATGTATTTATAAACATATTATGTGCCTCCAAGTGGAAAATTTAAAGACAGAAGATTTATGACTTTATTAAATGATTATAATTTTATTTATTTTTAAAAAGATTTTTTTTTAGTGTTTTTATTTATTTTTGAGACAGAGAGAGACAGAGCATGAGCAGGGGAGAGGCAGAGAAAGAGAGGGAGACACAGAATCTGAAGCAGGCTCCAGGCTCCGAGCTGTCAGCACAGAGCCTGACGCGGGGCTCGAACTCATGGAGTGTGAGATCATGACCTGAGCCAAAGTCGGACGCTCAATCGACTGAGCCACCCAGGCGCCCCAAATGATTATAATTTTATAAAAATGTTTCATTTCACAGCAAACAACAAGAGAAGCTCTCTATACCGTCTATGATATAACGTTTAACTTTCCTAAGGGGAAAGTTAGAATGAAGAAGAGGATTAGGAAAAACAAAACAAAACAAAACTAAAAGGGATTAATAGGAAACTAACAACTAAGATATAACAAAGTTTGAGAGAAAAGTTGGGATTTCTAAGAAAAAAAAATTAATTGTGATTCTTGATGAAGCGACTATAACCTAAGTGTTGTCGTATGTGCCTTAGGTTCTCAATAAAATGTTTGTGAAAATAAATTGAATGGGATTTACTTTCATTTAATTATCTTCCTCAAAAAAAAAAAAGAAAAAAACAAAACAAAACAAAACAGTGACTAAGACAGAATGAAGACATTCTGGTTATTATCATATTAACAAAAGAAAATTTTCTACCTTGACCTGAACCATTACTCCTACATCTTTATTGCTTAAAGAATGAGATGTAATACTTTTAGAGTAACTCTGGACCATCAAGGACTTTTTACAAAATGTGTTTGAGAATTTAGCTTTTCCATTAACTGTGAGAAAGTTATTAGGCAAATTAAAAGACACAATTTTAAGGAGAATGCTTACCTAATGGAGAGAAGAAAACTTTTTAAGGCATTTCTGAAAACTCATTTACAGAAAAGTAATAAAATTGTACCCTGTCAAGTGGTCTGCAAAGATTAAGTTAATGCTTTAATTTTTGATTTCTATTCAATTGTGAAAACAGGTTTCTTAGCAACGGTGGTTGCATACTTACATGAACTATACATTTATTTCATTATATATAGATCATAAACGCCTTTTTTAAAATTTAAATCTCATCTACTTACCAAATAAGGGTAACATGATTCAGATTCTCTATCTCAGGGGTTTTCTCATTTATATAGGTGAGTGAGGCCAAATTAGACAGTTCATGTAATACTGTTGTGAGCAGTTGCAATTAGAATATCCTTCTACCCTTAGATTGGCTGTGGACTGTGGCAAACCTAAAGTAAACATGTGATCTACACTCTGGAAGGGTGTATCTCCTGAAAATAATCTAGACATTTTAGGACATGGTCTTCTCTGAAAATGTCTAGGAAATGTAGGAGTACCTCCATTTCCACTTCATTGATGGGGGTCATTTCTTGCTATATTGGGCAAAACATCACAATTTAAAATGGTAGTTGTTGCCTCATGGTTATTGTTCAATCAGGCACAGGGATCAGTCAGTCACCCAAAGGTAGGGCATCAGGACGATGCCAGGACGTTCTACAGGACCTACAGTCTTGGAGCCTGATGAGTTATGGGAAGATGCTGAAGATATTTAGCTGAGTAGAAAATGTTCAAATAAGTTTCAGTAGAACTCCAGAAGGAGGCAAAAAGCTTCCAGAAAGGATAACATCCAGAGAAAGGAGGCACCAAAAAATACGGTGACGGAGCTAAAAATTAGACGCCAGACAATAGTGGATGAGTGCCAAATGAAAAACACCATTGTGTGAACTAGGGCCTGGATGTTTGTGCTCATGGTTTGTACCCCAGGGGTCTGCGTGGGAGCTCTGTGGTTCAGGAATTTTAAAGTTGAAGACTTTGAATGTCACAACTTGGTCCCAGTAGTAAGCATATGTTTTTATGTTAGGGAATCTTTTTTTTTTTTTAATCTGGGAAGTAAAACGAAATAATCGGTAATGTGGAAAGAGAAAAGGGATACACACACATGTACACAAACGCATGATTCTATGCCGAGTCCCACATATTTTATCTCATTTCATCTTTACAACAACACTCACTGTTACTGTTAAGTGGACATCGTTTTCCAAATAGAAGACAAGGAGACTAGGTATCAGAGGGGAAGGACTTTGAAACTAAAAAACAGACTCTTGACCAAAAGAAAAAAAAAAAAAAAAAA